ACACTCAGAGCATAGCTGGTAATTCATTTGCGGTCCGGCTTACCTGTGTGCAAGACTATCGAGTCATGCGTACCTTGTGAGATGCTAGCCTAAAAATCAATCGTTTCGTACCAATTATCTCTAGGACTTACCAGTCGGTACGTTATGTACTAGTTGTGTAGGGTTAAAACCACTGACAAGGCCTGAGTGTCAGCCTACAGTACTTCTGATTACCTTCGAGTTAACTTGACGTTTATTAAATCCACTAATAGTTAATAGGTGAGGCCCATATAATCCAATGCGGCGGATTAACTTTTGGGATGCTGGCTCTGAAGATGTTCATGTTCACCGACACTTTTTGTCCGTCTTACAGAAACTCTAGAATAAAGACCTCTACATAGTCCTACTAACTAACATGCTCTTCCTGAAATATTCACTCGATGTTCGACTCATCAGGTAGTCACAGACATACATGTTTAAACTAATTTTGCAGTCCAAACGAACATTACAAACTGAAGCAGAACTCTCCCCATCATCTCTAACCGGGACCGACGATAGTTTATTTGAGCACACCGTCTATTTCGTCGCTTATCAGGTCTGACGGCACAACAGAAGTGATTACTCAGCACTTGAAACGACCGCATCCATGTTTAGTGGGAACAAAACGCGTCAGAAATAAAGATGTCTTGATGTAACGTGACATGTATGCCACTGCAACTAATATTTGGTTTAATCCTTAAGCATTTCTACAGCCAGTTTAATATGCTACTTGTCCACCTAATATTGGTTATAAGAACCTATTTTGCAAATGTGCTCTCGTCCTTCTAATTAACAATCATTGTCAATGGAGTTGCTGACCGTCCGGAACTAAGTACATCGCTTCGGAGCAGTGGAAGACATTACTCTGTAAATTCCAATCATCCCTTTGGATTTTACCACTCGTCAAACTCCCTGGTGAGTTGGAACATTAAAAGGGACCTGGTAATTGTGAGCGTTATCCACCCACTGGCGTAGAAACGTCTATTACTAGTAGGGCGCTATCCTGGCGTAATTGTCATTAGTAAAACTTACTGTGACTATGTGGTAAAATGGAATGAACGCGACCATGCCCTTGAAAGTACATTTTAATGGTTGGTACCACCGTCCATCTTTGCAAATAATGCTTGTGACTTAAGGAAATATTAGGGCAATCCCCACAGAATGCACATATACCAATAAGAGGATGATCAGTTGCAGTCCTAAGCATCAACAGGAAGACTCGAACAACCAATACAAGGTGAATTTAACCTCATCGCATTGCAAAACCGAGTGACTGTCTGAACTCAATAGCAAAATGGACGACGCGATGACATTCAAAGCGAACTGCACTGGGTCTGAGGCATGGAGTGAACATTAGCCCTGGGAAGCAGGTGTACCCAAGCGCAGAGCCTGAAGTAGGACGAAGAAACTCACTACTGACTACCATCTATCTCTGCCTATAACTATACACAAGTTTGGAAGTATTAAACTAAGATGGCTCTCCTCGAATAACTGGATGGAACAGAAACCCACGTGTACTCACCAAAACCACGTCAGCCGCATTTGGCGAGTGATGCGATTGTGTGGGAACGGTTTTTGGAACGCTCAAGTCATTCGGTTTTCAACTCAATCTAGAGAAAAAACATGACGCTATACGGGATCTGTCAATATGCAGTGAATTTAGTTGGACCACAGTAACTAAGTCTGACCTAAAAATATGCCAATCATTCGCTGTCTTACTTTGACACATTTTACTAGAAAAATGGGATGCGACCACGACATTCAAACAGTCATAGAAATAATTACCACTTATTTAACTAGATAAATCTTCAGCCAATTCTATTTATAAAACTTTTAGATGCGGAAACCACGATCATGCATCATCTTCAAGATCGCTTACTAATTCACACACAGAGCATACTTCAGGCATCCCAATTTGTTGCGGAGATAGATTGGTAAGTTGCTAATTAAATAGTACACAAGAAATAAATACTTCGTTTATATATATAATTTCGAGACCTTCCCTACAAGCAGACACTATAATTCAAGCAGCTTCCCAGCTAAATGATCAACATATATAGGGAAGCACAACTTAAATAATAAATTCTGTAAAGCCACAAAGCATGATACTGTTGCCGGAGATAGCCGTAACCACTAAGGCGATTTATGTTGGTGAATTACAATCCTACTTTGCACGCAATATGTGTATATTTAGATGGGCTGAACACTGTAATCACCAAAGTGATCTATTTAGGCTGAGTACCTTAAAAATACAAAAATAGTAGAGGCCCAGACCAGTTGAGGATATTCCCTTCAGTCTAGCAAAGCATGAGGGTTACAATAATAAGCAAACGACAAAAGCAACCGTAACCTCGTAAGTTGATGTACTAACAAATAATATTTATACTAGCAGAGCTCTTATTGTTTAAATAGATAACTGAGGGTGGATTTCCCTTAATCGTTGAAGTTGTAGTATTACCTGTATTGCATTACTATTTCAGCTTATGTGCCTTCGCCATGGCTGCCAAGCATATGGAATGGACTCGACCGAAAATAGTGAACGAGAACTGTATACATATTTATAAAGGATGGTATCCTATCCAACAAACAGTATCTACCAACATAATTAAAAACTCATTCTACTCTGATGGATCTAAGCATAAGATAACATTGCTGACTGGACCGAACGGAAGTGGAAAAAGCATCTACATGAAAAGTGTAAGTAAATCTACGAGTGACTATGGACCTCGATTACATTCCTGAAACGTAGACTATGCCACCGAAAATAGAAAGTTCAAGAATGTTGACTGCATTTTAACTTACTGTTTTCAATTTTCCCTAACAAAGTAATTCCCATAAGAAGTGAGGAGCTAATAATTGTGCTGCTGAAAGATACAGGGTCCCTGAGAAGTATGCCACAATTATTTTCAGTGTTGAGGTATCACCAGGTTGAGCCGTGAAGCTGACCATGCGACAGAATAACGTAAGTCATAAATGATGAGCAAACTGAACTCTGTTCACGAAGCAACAGTTAAATGATTGTTTCAGTAACTCGACAAGTAATCCCTCGCGGTACTTGGTGCTCGATTGAGTAACATTCTGATATTAAACAAACTTCATTCGTGCTAAATGATACGCCATTGAAATCTTCATTACTCGGTGATGATTTTACAGGATTTGGATATGGATGTCCCTCTTAAAGTTACAGACATGAACCGACAGTGTAATTGTAGTTTATCTCCGAACTTCCTATGCTTCGAATGAAATCTTTTAAAAATAACTAAATTAAAGAGTTTTGGACCAAAATATCCCGAAATTTTGTGACGCGACCACAAACGTAACTAATTGCAATACGTGTTGGAGTATCAAATGAGACTTTTCGTGTATCAACGCTAGTTATTATTAGATGTAATATAAGGTTGGGAATTACAAGTTCTCGTACCTTAATATCCTAGTGAGGACTTGAGCACTTATTTACCGAGGTAAAGTACACTGCTAGCAAATATATGGGCATAAAAATATACTTGCCTAGCATGTTTACGCTTTTTTGTTTACTTGTAGATCGCCTTAATAATTTACTTAACGCACATAGGAAGCTATATTCCGGCTGAAGAGGCAACAATTTCTGCGTTTGATGCAATACATATACTCACAGGTACAAACTCTACTGAAAGAGATAACTGTTCGACCTATATGATGGCACTTCAAATGGCCTCAGTTGCTTTAAGAAACTTAACAAGCAAAACTTTGATAATAATGGACGAGTTTGCAAAGTCCGTAAATAAGGTAAGTCTAACACCTAGAAACTACTACGGGAAGATGAGTTAGAGAAAGACAGGAATTATGTTTAACTAAAGTTTGGTAAAACTACTAATACAGGTTTGTTTGGTTATGGTGTAGTTAAGACGCCACACAAATGTTTACATCGATGCATATCGGAGTTCTAGTCCGGAATATGCAGTGATGTAAATTTAAACTATTAATACCAAACTCTTATAAATCAAGAAACTTGACTACAATACCTAACAAACGGGATGCTACGAAATCCACAAAATGCTATATATATATAGCGAATAAAAACGAGTATTCCCGATGTTTGACAAGAGCATAGCATAAGACGACCCATAGAACCATGTACGACAAATCTATTTATCAAGATATAATTACTGCTAAATACCTTAAACATGTAAAACTACTATAACCACACATATTGTAACCAAATTTTCATTTTTTTCAGTTAGAGTTAGATGCGCTTACAATCGCTATGACAGAATTCCTATTGCTGAAAAATGAATGTCCGTATACCATCATAGCTACCCACAACCATACAATACTAAGGCAACTCCAAATGTATGGACCGCAAGTGCAATACCTGGTAAGTTTTCAGCTTGAGAAACATTTTGATGTTCTTAACACAAGACAATGAGAACGGTCCCTCATGAAGGAAGAGTGGTGTGTCTTTATGAAGCAGTCAATGGTTTGAACTTAAGAAGCGAGGCAATTAGTACAGCGCATGCTACAGGACTCCCGAAGAAAATTACTGAAAGAGCATTAACTCTGAAGGATTTTTTGAGTACAATACCCACTCATCGTATGAAGAACAGAAATAAAAAGTAGTTCTTTGCCTGACTTAACTTATTTTACAGGGTGAGGAAGGTCCTGAAGCTAGTTTATGGAACAGACACGGGTGGCAGTGCGATGACGCTAGACAAAATCTTTAACTCTGAATTTTATGAACTTTTAGAAAGTCTAGACTAGTGTAAAAGTGGAGGTCGGGAACCAGATAAATAAAGACGTTTTGAAGAGATGATTGTTGTTATTTTTTCTGCTGTCGAATTTTAGAAAATACGAAAATAAAGCTTTCAAACCTTAACGAAGTAAGAAAAACCTGTAGTGCTACTGACGGCCGACATATGTATCCATTGCAAAGAAAACAAATATTCACAAAAACAACAATGATAATCATAGTCAGGGGGGATATTGTACAGGGGTAGTGAATAATTTCAACTATGAAACGAAAGAATAAAAGGATGCTCTAATGCTCTGGAACAGGTAATTCGTTCTGACGGAATGTACACCAACATCTCTTTTACAAGATCGAAAGCCAGGCGCTTGTAAAGGTCAGAATTAGAAAACCAGTAGTCACCAAGAGGTTTCAGAACTCTCCTAACGTAACGAGACTCTGAAGAAGCAGGAGACCAATCTAACCGACCATGGCGGAAATATCGTCGTCGACGGGACACCTTTGTCATACATTTTGGGAGAGTCCCTAGTAAACGTTCCATCATAGCTAGGTGCTCAAGGTTATCATGTGTCATGAATAAACATTGTCCTGTCACCAATTCATACAAAATACATCCTATAGACCATACATCAGCAGATCGATCCCATCCAAGCTCCATAACAACTTCAGGAGCACGATAGTGCCGTGTCTGTATGGTAGTCGAGTGGTGATCTTCATCGAAAGTGGCTGATCCGAAGTCTATAAGCTTTATGGATGGATTACGGATTCGCCGTACTGTTCTGCCACGATGGTTGACATAAACTTCGTCGTAAGTACCATCAACAAATAAAATATTCTCAGGTTTTAAATCTGTGTGTGTGAGCTTATTTCGATGCAAAAAGGCAACAGCCTCACACAACTGTCGGATAATTATTGCACATTGTTCAATGGTGTACGGTTCGTACTCATTTTTTTCAAGAAATGTAAAAACACTTGGACCAAGTAGAGGAAATACAATATAGAAGTGTTCATGCCATTCGAAGAAATCTATAGATGATATGCAATGGGATCGATCTTTGGCATCTAATCTTGCAATAGTTTCTAAAACATTAACCTCGTGACGCGCAGCATCACTATAATCACTCTGAGGTTTAAGAGCCTTGACAGCAGTCAACGAATTTGTGTACAAGTCAAAACATTCAAAAACTTGCCCATAGCTACCCTCTCCTAGTATCTTCTCCACTCGAAAGCGTCGCTTGATAGTGTCACCGACCGGTACAATAGCAGATGGTTTGCGTTTGTGATGCTCATGACTAGCTTTCCTTCGTGCTTTTTCATCGCGACGCTTTTCTTCTCTCTTCCGACGTGCTATTTGCTTGTCATCTCTGTCAGGGAGTCTCGGAGAACCAGGAAATTGCCCATTATGTAAGTGAACGCGCATTGAATGCCCATCATGGATTTCGATACTTGGACTACGCTGCCGTTCTCGCTTAGTTGGATGGTGAGGCGGAGGTTTGGTAGCATGACTAGGAGCGATGCCACTGCAGGAGGAACTGTTAGAACGGTCTCGAGGACGGCCCTTATCACCAGAGATACGTACTGCCTTACATGTGCTCGTTGTATGATTGAAATTAGGAACTGATACATGGGAACTATGATTCCGCCTGAACCAACGGGGATAAAAACAATCACAGACTCAGTGACACGAAAGAAATAAAAACAAGACTATTCAAAATCAAAAGTTTATATGTGTACCTTTTACTACGTTCTGAAACACGACGTCTTTTAGGGTCTGAACAACCATAACCAGAGGATGCTTTTTCGGATGTGCTGGACCGTTTCCGATGACCAGCTGATGAAGAAGAAGTGGAACAAACAGAATCCGATACATATCTAGTTTCTTTGTTTCTAAACAGAGAATTGAAGCAGCAACGATGATTGCTTTTAGAACGCCAACCACGGCTAGTAGACTCTCCTCGTCTCAAGACCATTATCAATTAGGGCGCACTTCCACTTAATGCCAACAATATGGGTACCGTACTGATGTAAACAAACAGAGTAGAATCCTAAACAGTTAGGACTATAAACTTTTTGAGAACCTTTGAAGCGTATCGGTCATTCTTATTTCAAAAATACAAACCTCACTAGACATTTTTCAAGAAAGGTTTGGGGACAAAGTATAAGATTATATGATTAAAAGAATGAAAGAAGTTTTAGAGAGTGCGATACTATTTTATTTTGAAACAGTAAAGAAATGTAAGCCTAATATAGTTATATGAACTAGCGATTTATTCTGAAATATCTCCAAACAACCATCAGCAAGCGATTGTGGACGCTCCATCCCATCCCCACACCTAATCTTATCGTCATTTCAAGGTCTGTCATGTATTCTGGATTCTCGAACTCTGTTATATGCTGATGAAATTAGTGTAAAGAAACTAGTACAAGAACCTTCGGGTATATTGACTGTGCAAGATAGCTTTAATATGACAGATGATTACGCAATCAGGTACTGTCTCCTTAATAATAACAGTATAAAGAGGATGAAGAAGTTAAACAGAAGTGATGCATCTACCTTATACTCCCTGGATGATTCCAGTCTACAATTTACTCTAAGTGGGCTTGAGTGTTACTTTATTTGGTGTCGAGCGTGACGAACGCCAAACATATTGTTTCGTGTTGAAAAAATTATGAATGGATTATCTCCAGGTGGTATGGTTTAGTCCTTAGTTCAGTTCCCTTTTAAGCTGTTTTTCTGTAAATCGTATAATGAACCCAGTCTCAGTGACTGAGTATTTCTTATCGACTGCAGAATATTGATGAAAATAAATACCTAGGGAATCAGACGAAGTGATACTCAAGCCCACTTAGAGTAAATTGTAGACTGGAATCATCCAGGGAGTATAAGGTAGATGCATCACTTCTGTTTAACTTCTTCATCCTCTTTATACTGTTATTATTAAGGAGACAGTACCTGATTGCGTAATCATCTGTCATATTAAAGCTATCTTGCACAGTCAATATACCCGAAGGTTCTTGTACTAGTTTCTTTACACTAATTTCATCAGCATATAACAGAGTTCGAGAATCCAGAATACATGACAGACCTTGAAATGACGATAAGATTAGGTGTGGGGATGGGATGGAGCGTCCACAATCGCTTGATGATGGTTGCCCCGAACCGTTTCGGTATAAAGTGAACCTCACTTTTAATGTGTAGATTCGTAGTCGAATTTTGATCTCATTGATCACTTAACAACCACTCAGCTAATAAACATCGTATATTTGTAGTGAACGGGAACAAACGCGGGGAAAATCGAGTGTATTTGAACACAATATTACAAAATCTTATAGTAAAACCTGTGTAAGATCCATTTTGAGTGCCTTGTGTGTTTGTGAAAATCCCTCCATGTATATACTTACACTTTGTTCCTATTGATTCTTTTAGTTGTACATTGTTAACTTTTTGACTACATTTGAATTGTTAATATTTGTATTTTATTATAGTTTCGTTTTTACTACACCTTCACCAATTCCCCATGTTTCTTCCCGAACTGCACTTATGTTGTTTTACTTCATACTAAGTCTGGGCGGCAGCCATTTTGGTTTATCCCTGCTTTTGATTGCTTGACCTGTGTTGACTGGAATTGTGCATTTTGGTTGTGAATTGAAGCACTCTTCCAGAATTGAAAACACTCTGTGTTATAGAGCGACCAATTATTACCTTTTGAACGAATCTGTACGTGATCTATCCAGTCAGGATAGAATAACATTGATTTGTTGTGATTGGTAATTTTTCCTCATCTTCTATCAACTTCTTTATTTATTGTAATTTAGATTTAATTGATTGAACAATCATTGGTTGAATAGCCGGGTGATAATATTTGTTTAGGTAATGATTTACATTAAATTTATTATGAATTATAGAACCGCTAGTTACCCGATTACTTGTTCTGATTTCGACGGGAAAGGGCGCGTGTCTAAAATCCCCGGTCGGCTATTCTTCAACATCCAAACTGTAGTTTGGATCCTACAGTTCTAAACAAGTATTACTTGGCCGAAATCCTTTGGTAATCGTTCACGGATTTTCTGGAAATAATTGGTCGTGTCGCTTATAATGCCAGTTAATCGTTGAAGGAGATCAGGCTCAAAGTTCGTCGATGTTAACGAAGAATCCCCTATTGTCAAGCAAGTGCCTTTTGACGTCCTTAAGGGTCATGGTTCAGACTTAAATAGGGTTCATTATCATGGCAGTGATTCTAGCCTTAATTCGATGTCAGATGATTTAAAAAATCTTAGTTTAAAGGAGGAACAAAGGCCTGAATTACTAGGAAAGAGCATGTCGCCTATAGTCCATGTTGTTGGCCCAGAGCTACCTAAGGTTGAACTGAGTTATTTCGATGGAGAGCCAAAAGGTTATTGGAAATTTATAAGGCAATTTGAGACGTATGTAGCGTCAAGAGTCACGGATGATAGCCAGCGCTTACTCTATTTGATACACTACTGTAAGGGCAAGGCTAAAACAGCTATTGAAGGTTGCGTCATGTTGGAGGCATCCTCTGGCTATAAAAGAGCAAGGGAGATTTTAAAACGTTTTTTCGGACAGCCTCACGTAATTGCTCGAGAAACACTAGAGGACTTATTCAGTGCTGTGAATTCTGAGTATATTGACGGGGACCAACTATCAAATTTGGCTATTAAGATGGAAAACTGTGCCATGGTCTTGGAGCAGATGAATTATACTTCTGATCTAAATTCCTTAGTTACCTTGGAAAGAATAGTGAGACTCTTGCCTCAACCTATGCAAGCCCAGTGGGCGGACTGGGTGGATAAATTGACTGAAGATAACAGGGAACCGACCTTCGACGAGCTCACTCAGTTTATCGCATCGCGTGCGAGAGTGGCTTGTAGTAGATTTGGACGGTTAGCAAACCGTTCTAGAAAAGGACATAACGTAAAGACGAACTGTCACGTGCAATCAGAGCAAGGGAATAGTTCGACAATGAAAACTAAATGCAGTATGTGTTCCTACGACCATGCCATTGATAAATGTCCACAGTTCTTAGCGCTTACAGTTCAAGACCGATGGTCTCACGCTAAAAGCAAGGGTATCTGTTTCGTCTGTCTTAGACAGGGACATAGAGTTAAGGAATGTAAGATGACAAAGCGCTGTAACGTTGAGGGTTGTGAAAAGAAACACCATTCTTTGTTGCACAGCGAGAGTGAGAAACCTGGTATCTTGAGTTGTTGCGGATATACTAAATCACTAATCAGTCAAATGTGTTTAGGCATGATTCCCGTACGGTTGAAATCGCGAAAAGCCGAGATTGTGGGTTATGCTCTGTTGGACAACGGTTCTGATGTGACACTGATAAAGTCAAACTGTTTGAGGTCTCTCGGGCTGAGCGAAGACCAAGCATCAGTGGTAGTTGAGACTGTGGGCGGTAATAGATCAATGAAGGTCACGAGTGCGCCTTTTGAGGTATATTCTTTAGATCGATCTGAACACGTTACGATTGAAGGAGCTCTGATTGTAGCAAGTATACCAGGTCATAAGCCAACAAAGTCAGCAATGAATAACCTAGTTAAGTGGCCGCATTTAAGTGATGTGCCAATAGATAGCCTAGACCCTGAAGAAGTTTTACTGTTGATTGGTTGCGACGTACCAGAAGCACATTGGGTGTTAGACCAACGGTTGGGTGGAAGGAAGAACCCGTACGCTGTGAAAACGTTGCTGGGGTGGACGGTTTTCGGACCAGCGTCATGCCCGGAATATAGGAGAAGTGTTGTTAACCATACCAGTAAGGTACAGACATTAGAGAACGAAATACGTAAGCCTTATGACGTAGAGTTTTCAGATGCTTATTCAAGTGATAAATCATTATCAGTAGACGACAAGGTGGCTATAAAGATTGTGGAAGGTGGCACGCGCTTCGGCAACGGTCATTTTGTAGTTTTTATACCTTGGAAAAAGAATCCAGATATGAACGTGGATAACTATGAAGTAGCAAACCGTAGATTACAAAGTTTGAAGGGTATGTTGTCGAAGGATGTCAGTCTGCACATCAAGTATATCAAAAGTACTGAAAGTGATTTTACTAAGACTTATGCGGAGAGGGCCTTTGAAATATATCTGCGGTCTTATTATCGCCCTCGATGGTATTTACCTCATCGTGCAGTATTAAACATGAAAAAACCAGAACTTAGAGTGGTCCTTGACTGTGCCGCCCAGTTTGCAGGGGTTCCCCCAAATGATATGATTTATCAAGAACCCGATACCACTGCTGAGTTAAGGTGTATATCAATAAGTTTTCGCATGGAGGCAGTTGCAATCCCTGCAGATGTTGAAGAAATGTTCATGCAAGTGAAGGTCCCTGAGTCTGATCGAGGAGCTTTAAGATTTCTGTGGCGGCAAGAGGGAGACATGTCGAGGGAATCATCCGAGCTTCAAATGACATCCCATCCATTTGATGCCACATCATCGCCATTTTGCGCGAACCTTGCCCTGAATAAGGCGGCCCAAATATTCTCTGACGGTTATGATGGTTACGTTGTAGATGATGTCAAGAATAATTTCTATGTTGATGATTGCTTGATATCCATTCCCACTTGTGATCAAGCAAAGAGTTTCGTTAAGCAGATAAGTGAATTATTATGTAGAGGAAATATACAAAAAATGACCGATCTTGAATCTTGGTTCAAATGTCCTATTTTATTGCATGGCGAATTTTATATAACAATCACTGACTGTACGGAACCTACTCTTGACGATATTGAGTTTAGAAAAACTGCTGTGGTTAACTTGAGTAGTATAAAGTACAACAAGACACCTGTTCTCTCTTATTATTCCGAGTGGTTGAAATTAGTCAGAGCTGTAACCTGGTTTAGAAGGTTCATCGAATTCCTGATGGTACTTCGTTTACCGAGTTGTGAAGGATCCGTTCATCTAGGATGTTTAAAGGTCAAAGAGCTTGAGATTGCCAAGCGTAAG